GATGTTTTATCTTTCTGGATTCCTATTCAGTATTATTTGCATTTGCACACTGATGCTACAAATGCTAACTTATGACATAGCTTGTGTTTTGAACAGTCTCTACAATAATTGTGCCCTACTGCCTATCCAGCAGCCATTGACAGACAGATATTGGCTGTGACACCCTTTATCAGATCCCGAAAGGACACAATCACTCTGGACCTGCACTCAGTACCTCAGCTTCTTCTGTAGTTACCATAAGGCACATGTAATTCACCCTCATATATTAAAAAAAAACAAAACAAAACAAAAAACCCACCTGCAGTCTCCAGACTACAAAATACTTGTTGAAAACTCCTGTCTCACCTGCAAATTGGGGATGGCCGCACCACCTGTCCTGTATAATCCAGAAGTGCTGCTTATCAAAGGTCGTCTGCCTGCTCTCCAGGGATTTCCACACAGCACACCCCTCCATCCTGGGGGGCACACAGCAGGTTTGCTGGGGGTGCAGGGCACCCTATGAGGTGTGACCAGCTGCCACCAGTTGCTGTGGAACGGCTCTGGCAGGCTCTGCAACTGCGCTAACTTCCAGGCAGTCCTGGCGCAGAGATGAGAAGTCTGACAGGAGCGTGGGCATCCTGGCCTGTGGTGTCAGCTACTGAAGTGAGCACGGGCTCCGATACCACGGCTGGAGGTCCACAGCTCTCTGAATTACACTTAGTGTAATGAGGTGCCTGGACTGGAGCCAGACCAGTGCTCTTTCCTCCTGAGGCTTTCCCCTGCCCCAGCATGGGGCCCTCCCATGCAGTACAGTCCTTCACAAAGCGCAGCCCTTCAGGAAGGCACCGCTACTATGCGGGATGTGATTCCCGCCAAAAAAAAAAAATCAGCTCCAGTTTGGGCCACAATTCCTGCCCAGAACTGCACGGGCTCTCCACAGGCTATGGCACAGATATCTGCACTAATACAGCCTGCTTCACCACAGCTGCAAAATCACTGCTCCGGCTCCCTGAGCACTTCTTCCATCCCCTTTCACTGACCTCTGTGCCTGCAGGGCTGTTTCTCTCATATTCTCTCACTCCTCTCTCTCTCAGCTGCTGTTCAACCTTTTCTTAAACATCCTCTCAACCAGCATCATTCATTGGCTCGGCTTCGGCCAGCTGAGTAGCAATCTGCCTTGGCTGATATTCTAATATAATAAACATACCATACACATTCCTTATGTGTGTTCAGCATGAATAAAAGTCATACAGCTGAACACATTAACACTTCAGTGGGAGGTCAAATTATTGTTTTGGCACTTGTATCAAGTCTGTCATTTCAATTCCACTTTATCAAATTACGGATTGCTCGATACAGTGGGATGAAAAGAAAAGACAGACACACACACACAAGCAATTGTCATCACTTCAGTTGTGAAATCCCATAATTGCATGTCAGTGACAGAAGGAACAAGAGAGCAGTAATAGGACTGCCATTATGATCATTCAAATACTATGGAACCTTCCAACAAGGCTTTGCACTGTCACAATCTACATGCCAGGAAACTGACTGGCTTTCTATTTCCTCCCTTCAGTATTTCCAGTATTTATTAGGCCAACTAGCACTGCACATTAGGTTCTAAGGCAAGCTTTGGCTGTCCATATTTCCATAACTAATGCTTCTATTTGCAAAGAACATAAACTAAGACAAGGAAATGGAGGATCCTTTGATTTTAAAGATATCTCTAAAAATACAAGAAGAGTTACAGAATTATTTTTATGTAAGAATGTATAAAATTACACCTACTGAACGTAGAACTGATTAAACTCACTGTCTGAGTTTGTGGTTATCTGGAGTGCACAAAATCTCAAATTAAAAGTATCACTGAGTAGGCAGCCACAGATTTCAAACAACTTTTCTGCAAAAAAAAATAAACCTGAAATTATTTTACCCTTCTGAGAAATTTCACCTCTGTGATGAAAACGACTCCAGAAATGTCATTCAAATTCAACTTAAGAGCCGAGATCTCAGTGGGAACTTTTGGCATACGATGACAGGTACATATTATCTGAACAGCTCGTTATTCTAACTCGTGCATTATTCTCTCTTGTTTCCTCTACATTCTATCCTGTCATGGGATGCTTCAATAATACCCTTATTTGTCCCACAGCTGAAGAGGCAGAAGAAATAGGAATTACTTGTTCACTCAAGCAGATACCAGGAGGTCCGGCAATTTTCCATAAGATTCCACTGATTCTATATCCAAAACACAGTTTACAGAACATAATTACCTAACAAAGTAAAGATACTTATATAGAACACCTTGATACAATACATTGGAGTCTGCAATCTGTACTCAACAAAAAAAATTCCATTTAACGTGAGAAAAAAAAAGAAAAGCACCCTAAACATTCCAAAATGATACAGACTGCAATCGGACCTCAAAAGGTTAAAAAAAAGAAAAAAAGAAAGATACTTCATATTCACTGATAGGAAGGTCCTAAACAGCAGAAGAAGGGTTCACAACAAAAGGATACAGCATACAATTATAGTGATATCTTACATGTCTGCAGAAGCACTGTGGACAGTCTGACTCATAAGCTCTTTCTTACTTGATTAATACCCTTATTAATTTCCACTCACAGTAACTTAAAGAACAACCATAAAGTAATTCTTTTCCTACTAGTAAGACAAAGTTTCCCTTAAACTTTTATGGAAAATATTTGGAAATTATCATTAAATTGAATAAATAAAAGATTGCAAGAAGTGATACAATGAGCTGAGCCCAGTGTATTTGTAAACCAAGTTTCTTTTTCTTGTTTTGCCATGGACTAACTTTGCAGCCTTCCCTCTGACTTTCCTTCATAATTGTATTTCTGCATATGTAAACTGAGCAATATAAATCAAAGTACTTTCCTTAAAAGTGTTTTTAATCTGTTTGTGAAGTGCCTGAAAATCCTCTGACAGATGATACTAAACAAAAAAAAAAACTTTATTTTTTTCCTTCAGAAGACATAAGGAAAGGCATTGCTGCCTATCCCGTATCCCACAGAAGTAATAGAGAATGATGAAACATGATGTCGCTACAGGGAAATTTTCTAACTTACTGACCTATCATGTTATTGACCTAATGCACACCCATTAAGTCTATTGCTCTCATAAAGCCTCTGCACTCTGAGCTCAAATGTGGTAAATTTTTAAGTCAAGATGCATCTCAAAAATGTTCTCTCCATGAGCTACTTCAAGAACAGAAAACGAAGCAAGATATCCTGAGTGACCTTCAGTTACCAAGCTAATAACATAACTGCTAGTTAATGATCAGCATTTACTTTCCTGCAAGGTATACTGAAGAGAATGTCACTGCACACTGCAGCAAACGTAAGTCTGTTACTAAAAAGAGTACGCCAAAATGAAACGAAAAGGAAAAAACCAAATACGAAGAACAAAACATCCCAAGCAGAGTGAAATCCAGATGCAGCAAAATTACCCAGCACAGAACAGCCATTTTAAGTTAACTTCCCAATTACGTCAGTGGCTCAAACAGTTCTCCATCCATCTCAGAACAAAGAGAAAGGAAGGCTGGGACAGCACGAGGAAGGTAACCGCATACCAGAATGTTGGTTCCACAGCACTGGCATGAATTTCTTCAGTGACAAGGGAACAATTGCAAAGTGCAACAAAGTACTTCAGAAAGTAGAAATTAAGCATCAGGAAAGAAAGTTTGTAAGAAAAGGAAGGCACCTTGCAAACATTTTGTTGTTATCTCAGAAAAATTTTCATTAATTACTAATGATATAGTTCATTAGTAATATATTTCATTATGGAACTGCAAATTATGAAATGCTAATTATGCATGCCTTAACTGCAGTAATTTGTCTTGATTTCAGCATAGATAAAAATATTTATTTACAACGTTCCAGGTTCTACAAATTACACTAAGCTGCTAATTTACATTATCAATAAACAAATGCAATGCAACAAGCAGTAACAAAAAAAAAAACAAAAACACATTACTATTTAATAAAATTGATATGTTTTTATTTGATTATCTCAGAATTGGTCGTTAGTAATCCATACCCCTGGACTGAGAAGTAGAGCTGCCATTTCAGCTCAGCAGAAGCTTCAGTTCTGAGACCAAACATGAAACACGCCAAGCAATGATAGCTAATTATAACATTTAAACTCTTTCAAAATGCTCCAACAAATTAAGGAAATGAGGACAACTAGACAACTCTTTATGCAAGTTCTTGTGTTTGCAAGCTAATTGCACTCACATTTCAGTATCTTAATTGAACTCTTAGCATGTTTTTGTCTAACTCAAAATTATTTCCTCTTTGTTCCTGAAAACACTGTAAATCATTGGAATTCTGTAGAGTCTTCATTACATAATAAAAATGAATTGTGCTCTCCTGCAGTAACTTTGACAGCATATTATACTGGACTTGAATAACAGTATTTAGCACAATCTGAACTTTCACAGATAACTCAAGTGTGTATAGGATTACATTGATTTACAAAGTTTGCTTTTCATTTCCAGCAAAAATAACCAGGCTGCTATTAAGAAAAAGAGGAGCTGCTGAATATAAATAGAAAGATGCAGTAGCCAAAAGAAGTCCAAAAAAGAAAAAGAGAAAAAAAAAAAAAAAAAAAAAAAAAAAAAAGATCTTTGGAAAGTTGAACCAGAGAACTTCAGTACCATGCATTACAGCACAGCTAAACTAAACTAAAGCTAAATTAATCATAAAAACCCACAGTTTCAAAATGCAACTTGAGAGCTAGAAGGCAGCTTCCTGCATCTCCTGGAGTGTTTTTTTATTCTTTTCTCATCAAGGGAAATCTAAAATTCATTCAATCTCATAAGGTAGTTTTGTGCCTACTGAAGTAATAATACAACTGCATTGGCTATCGGGAAACTTTAACACATACACATAAAAGACCATAAAATAATTTAATATAGTTAAATTTAAAAGAAAAAATACAATGAAAGAGTAACTTACTAGAGCAGCCTGACATAAATGACATTAAAACAAGCCACTTACTTTTCTGTCCTCAGTTTCTACAGAGGAATTGCGCTCTGCTTTAGTATCCTGAAAAGACAAACAGAGAAAACAGTGTCACAAAGCACATTCACAGAGGTGGAAAGAACTCAAGATTCAAGAAAAGGCATCTAAGTTTGATAACAGATTTCTCAATCTATTATATTTTACTGTATATTTATTAATAAATTCAAAGATAAGATATTCAGTACTACAGCATTTAGAAAATTTATTAAACGTTATTACAAGCACATGTGTAGTAAATGTAAAGATAGGACTGATACATTCTAAAAAACAAACCAATTTTTATATACCATAGCCAGCACAAAAGATCAAATTCATATCTTTACAGTGTAAGCTTGCTTTTTCAACATGCATCTTGATAAAACAGTCATTTACTCTTTCCTTTACCGTCAATATTACAAAAAAAAAAAAAAAAAAAAAAAAGTTAAAAGGTAAGATAACTATCAGCTCAAGAAGAAATGCTCTACCTTCCATTTGTTGACAGAAGAGCTGGAAAGGACTCTGAAGCCCACAATGTGTTATGGGTCCATATTTATAATCATGGACTACTGGATGTTGAAGAGGCTTGTGTCTGAATCTCAGGGCAATATGCAAGAATACTCAAGCATCTATTTTACAGAAGCATATACATGTACACATGTATTTTTGTTTATGCACACGTTTTGTACTTGTGTTTACTTCAGGAATCAAGCAGTCTTAAATCTAATGACACGCAAAACATGTTCTTTTTATTCCTTAGGCATTTTGACTCTCACTGAACTGCCAGGGCTTTGAACACTAGAGAGCATATAACCTGTTAGAGACTACGTCCTTCTTATCTATGGAAATATACACAGCAAATGCTTGTCACAAATGCTTGCCTGAAAGGCACTTATGTCTTCATCTTATTCCTTTGGACAAGTTACTCTTGAAAACAGAATAAATTGAATATATTCCACGTCATCAGACTGTAGACAAAATTAGTGACATATTGTATTTTTTCAGTGTTTTTAACTTCACTTTTTCCATGCTGGCCACACCTTGAAGCTAATTTTTCTTACACACTGCAAATTTAGAGACTTCTGTTGATGAGGCCCTTTTGGTTGCTTTTGTTAAAAGTCCTTTCCCAGCCTCTTACTGAAGCTTGAACTATTCTCATCAAACTTTGAATTATTGGCTGAAGTTACTTGTTACATAAATCTCAAGCTACAGATTTAAGGCTGACAGCTAATAGCAGTTCCCATTAAAAATGGAAACAAATTAAATAAAGAAGCTGTGTTTCTTCAGCACCATGTCTATTCATCTTAAATATACTGACGCTATTTCAATATCAAAGACTTCCTACCTAAGCCATATATTCATATGAGATTAAATAAGAAAACCTCTCAATGAAATAAATTGAATCAAGGTTTCTTGAAAAATTATTTTCATTCTCAGCAAGATATATTAAAGATATATCTAATTTTCGGTTACTTCTCAAACAGAATATTTCCAGTAAAACAATCTCTCTTATTCTAGTTAGTTTTACACATCACTTACAAATGATTATTTCAAATACTCTTTATATTCAAAATAAAAGCCAGGATTCAGGTAGCATTTGTGCAAAGTAGTACTCAGAATTCTTCTCATTTTGCTAGGTATCACTGTGTAACTGCCAGTTAAATTATAACATTATAAACACTCTAAGAGCTTTGTTACTGAGCACTGATTTGGCACAACAAAAGAAAATTTATTATCTTGTAGATTACTTTGAGTAGCAGCAAGGAAACAAACCAAGGTTTTATGCAGCATATCAGGAGCAACACAAGGCAAACACAACCTGCAAGAGTCACAGTGCTGTAAGGCCACGGGTGTTTAACAGCAGAATTGCAGTTACGCTCAGCCTTGTGTTTGTTAGTAGGGAGCTCTGAAAGGTAACCTTAACGCGTTCCTACCAACATTCATCAGTTTGAGAATACTTAGTGACCAACACGTACAAGATGCACGCTTGTGCTGAGTACTACAGCTTACCAGATCAAGAGTTTTCTTCTTCAGTGCTAGTTTGCAGGTAACTAATGATTTATGTAAGTTGACAGCAAGAGCTGCTGGAAGGCCACAGAACAGAATACATCAGATGTGACATCTATTTCATTCCTGAGAAGGCTTCCTTCCTTCACCCCCAGTTTACTTTTTTTCCTGTTGTTCCACAGAAACTAAATTTATTATGTTAGGCCCTTGGGAATCACATCTAACACATTCAACCTGTGTTAACATAATACAAGCGTTACTGAAGAGAAGTAAAAGGAAAGTTCTAGACAGTACAAATGATCATTGCTGATGACATGACTGTTTGGCAATCGCACAATTATTTTACATGTATAAAATGTATAATTTTACTTTTTGAATAGCAAAAAGCCGAACGCCCTCAAGTAACAACCAGTCATGCAAGTAATAGCTGTGAATATTTGTGATGTTTTTTTTTTGTTTTTTTTTTTCCTTTACTTGGTATCTCCATGCCATTCAGATCTCTTTCCACTACTTCCTTACCAGAATAATACACAATATCCAAAACAAAGCACAAACAACAGAAGAGAAATAAATTACACAAGCTAAGAAACCTTAAAAGTTACTTCAATTGTTACTGTATTTCTTTTCCATTTTAAAGGAATGCAGTGCAGACAGCAAACAATTCCTGTATCCACGCTCTACTCCACTGGCCTGTATCAGGACGAAAGATGAGAAATTGGGGGATTTTTGCGTTGCTTTTGTCTGTAATATCATGAACAGTCAGTAGGTGGAAGCAAATAACCTCTTAAAATGGTGCTGAACTCCATGGAAAAATAAATCTACAGCACTGAGCACTTTGGTCAGCTATTTTACATGCACCCCTGGTATCCTAACAAGTGCTAAAACAAATTAAGCCTTTGTTGCCTAACACTACTTTTCCAATTCAAGAAAATGCTGTAGAGACAGAAGTTAAATAGTTGTAACAGATTTAAATTCTTACAAAGTGAAAGCAGTTCCTTTGAATGACAAAAGCATATATAAAGGTAACCCAAATGTTAAACAAAAGAATAGAAATACTTTAATTGAACAAGTACACATGAAAACTCTGTGTTATTTATTTTCCTGGGTATTTGTATTAAGTACTTGAATACATCAAAGCCCCGCATAACTGTGGAAAATGCTTCATCTTTTCACTATCCATTATATATCCTTATTGCTGCTAAAAGGCTACCAGCAGAATAATTCATTACAAGTTCACAATAGTTCTATTTTATCCATCCCAGAGAATTAACTGCACGCTACAAGTTACTAGAGGAGAAAGGATGGAAAATGAAACAGTAGAATGTGACATTCAAGCCTTCACTGAGCTTGTACTCTGCAACTGAATGACCCACGTACAAATCTCAGCAAAAAAATCTTCCAGGATTTTTACAGTTTCAAGTGTTGCAGTGTCAGAAGTGTAAGAAAAGAGCTCCATGAAGGAAAGCAATGGCTTAATCTCTAGTCACTAACATTTCTGGAGCAACAGAGGCCTCTGTCTAACAAGCTAGGAGCAGAAACCAGGAGAAGACTGGGTCATCTTCACTCTTCTCTGATGTCTTTCTCATATTCAGTCTGGAGCCCAAAAATAAACCCATCTCACATGAGATTTAAATTAAAGTTTCTCATGTCTTTGAGTAGCTCATTCTTTTTGTTTTGCGTTAAGAGTAGAGTTCAAGGCAGTGGCGGCGCTCAAGATTCTTGGTATATTGAACTGACAAGCTTTATATTAAAAAATTACTGTTTGTAAAAGTGCTGCTGTATTTTTCATATACAGTTTAATTGACTCCAGTGTGTGTCCCTGCCACACACCACCCACCAGCCAGCTGTGAAAGTGGATAACCTCCTTCCTTCTGATTCCAGAGTCCTGTTTACATTCATCCGCAATTTTCAAAGCTATCAAACCTGGGTGTTTTATTTAAAAAAAAAAATATATATTGATTTTTTTCTTGCATTAACATAGATTTGAGGGAGCAAGTAATTATTTGCTTGCTGAATAAGGCACTATGGACTGAAGTGTATGAGACTTTCCCTCTCCTTTCGTCTTCATTCTCTCACCTTTGACTTATTTGCCCTTTTCTTTAATACACCAAATACTAAGAGATGCAAAGACACATCAAGCCTCTTCAGAGCAGAGAAAGGAAGCATTGGTGGGACTCAACTCATTAGTCCAGTAGGAATGAAGTTACCTGAGCATAAATCTATGTTCTTAGATCACAACTGCACAAAGCAGCATAAAAACAGACTACATTTTAAAACAAGACATATATACTGCTTTAAGACATTATCTATCAGGCAGGAGGGTTTGGGAACTGCTCTTCAAACCTAAAAAAACCCCATCAGGTTAGGACTGAAATTTGAGGGCTAGCAAATCTAATGTCCAAGGGTGGCAATGCAAATTTCCATTCGATAAAGTTACCAGTTCAAACAGCACCAAAAAAATGCACATCCTATGCACAACGCCATTTTGACAGGTGGGCCAAATCTAAATGTTTCCAAGTCTCAGAGTAGCTATGTTTAACTCACAGAGCAAAACAGCTGTATCAGAGCAGGGTCCATCTCTGACTTCAGATGCAGGATTTTCAGTTGCAATTACAAAAGGAAAACATACGTATTTTCTAGTTTATATGCAGTTTTCAAAAGACACTTTTTAAAATCTAATTTGATTTTTTTTTCTTCAGCCAATAGGAAAAAGGTGCCATTTCAGAAGCAAAGTTAGATTAGCCATCAAAACAATTTTCAAAATTGCAAATTTAAACTTCATTGAACTAGTAATATCCTCCACAGCTCTGTTGACCTACTGGGCACCTACTTGTACTAACAAATATCAGTGCATTCCAAGCCACTGGACTGAATATACATTCCTGAAATGTCCAAAAGCAGGGCTGTCAGTAAAGGTGCCAGGGTGCTGGGAGCACACAGTGCACACGGTGTGAGATGGCAACTGGCCACATACACCTGAAGTGCTGATACAATTTCCATAGAACGCAACTGAATTAGCAACACGCGTACACTGTATGCTT